CTTCTTGAGGAGCTGCAGGGCGTGAATGTCCCAGGGGGACGGCTCCGGGTGGGTGGGGGAGGGGTGGCCGGTTTGCACGCGGAGGGCGTGGGCCGTGGCCGCGGCGAAGGAAGTGAAGGGGGGGCTGGTGGTCGTGGCCGCGGCAGCGGACGAGGAGGCCGGGGTGCGGGAGGCGGACTTGCGAGCCATGGTGAAGGGATGAGGGGGGGCGGAGGGGGGCGGTGGTGGGAACAGGAAGAGTAGGGGCCGGGGGGAGGGGGGGCGGTGAGGAAGGCGTGGTCTAATTGTGAGGGTTGGACGGTGAGAATGCAGGGACAACGGCGGATGACGTTCGCGTCAACCGTTGACGGTGGAATTGAAGATTTTATCGAAAAAATATTCATGTCCAGTGTGGCTACCAACACCTACAGCATCCACTACAGCTCAGCAGACCTCAGCAGCACAGCAGTGCTGCCCCTCGCGCCGCGCCCGTCGTCAACATCACGACCCGACAGCTCCAATGCTTCACATCGCCGCCGCCTTCCGCGGCTTGCGCTTGGTCACCCCCGCTGCGCCCTCCGCAGCCGTTACCGGCTCCCCGTCTTTCTCTGTCTCGCCTTCCCGACCGGCGTCCTCCTCCTTGACCTTCTCCCGCTTGGGCTTGAGCGCAATCATAGCAACTGCGGTGAGCGCGGAAATCCCGACGATCGTTCCAAAGTACGGCTTGAGGTAGGCCTTGTCGGGGTTGTCCCACGCCTTTGACAGCCTCCACGCAACGGCGCCGCCGATCAGCATGGGGTACACTACGGCGAGATGCACGGACGCCATCATCACCTTGTACCCCGCCTGCCCCTTTTTCAGCGTTGTGTCGCGCATACCTACGGCGAGGAGGAAGCTCACCACGGCGCCGCCGTTGCCCACATAGATGGCCGATAGCGCTTTCTCCTGAAAACCGGACGCCTGGAACGCCAGCGCCCCGCACACCATCAACACCAGCCCGTGGATCATCAGCATCTCACTGGGCGCGACCCAACCCATCTCTGTGTGCGTGTTTGTTTGTGACAAATGAAGCCGCTGTCTATTACTTCCTTGCGAGCTAGTGCCTTCCGCTTGGTGAAGTTGCCTGTTATGCTTGCCGTTGTCGTGTTTGACGCGAGCGTGCCTGGCGGATAGGTGGCAGTCTGGTAGGGTGTTGCGAACGCAAGATGATTTGGAGACGTCACGCTGCAAACGACAATGAAATGTACAGTACTGCTGTCGGGATTTTTCCCTTGTTGACTGAATTTGGAAAAAAATCCAATTTTCCACAAGCGCTTCCAAAGCTCTTGACCCTTTCCTGCTGGTTGTCCCGATACACGCTAACAAGCAATCGGGCGAACGCGTACGAACGGGTATACGTTTACACCGCCCGACATAGAGCTACCAACATGTAAAAAGGAGTTGTTACGTCTTTACATTCTTCCTTGCTTCTTGCAGGCACGTGCCACGCCTTCCTCAAGAAGCAATGGCACATTTGTTGAAGGGCGAGACAAAAGGAAGAGAAAGAAAAGGATATTGATATTGACGTGTGTGATTTAAACATCGGAGTTATTTGCACCTTTTTATTTGCTCATGTTCGGGCGTCCTCGAAATCGCCCATGTCCGATTATAATACTAAAGAGGAATCTATTTGATCAGCACAGGTTGATGATTGTCCGTGTTGAGACACCATCCCTCGCCAATTCTCTAACTACACTTTCCTTCCGCCAGCATTCACTTCCCCTCTTCCATTGCCATTCACTTTTTTGCTTGCCTCACAAGCTTTTCAACACTAGATAGAATCTCTCTAAAAATCAGCTTGCGTCTCCACCGCAAGTTGTACGTATGTAATACATAAATAATCAAACAAAGAGTTAAAACAAGTTTCTCGACTTGTTTCCATAAACTTTGCTCTTGATCGTGAAAAAAGTCTTAGCACCGATTGATATTGATTTCGACCACCCTCCTACATGTTGGCTTGCAGGCCGCTCCGGATGCGGCAGGCTTACAACATGTCCTCGCCGAAGTCGTTGGCGGGCACGCGGTCGTGGCCGGCTTGCAAGACGGCGACCGCTTCGTTGAGGGTGCTTTGGTCGGTGGTGGCGGCGGCCTGGTGGATGGCGGGGCTCGCGTCGAAGAGGCCCCCTTTGTGGACGATCCACATCGGCAAGAAGTTGACTTGCATGATCTGCAGCTTGCCGAACATTTGCAGGAAGATGATTTGCAGGTTCTGCATGACACAGAGGACGAGCATTTGCACGAGGACGACTTGCATGTCTTGCACGACACGGAGGACGAGCATTTGCACGAGGACGACTTGCATGTCTTGCACGACACGGAGGACGAGCATTTGCACGAGGACGACTTGCATGTCTTGCACGGCACAGAGGACGAGCATTTGCACGAGAACGACTTGCACGTCTTGCATGACATCGCTGACGAGCATCGGCAGGAGGCTGATTTGCAAGATTTGCAGACCACAGACTCGGACTTGGTAGATGTCGCTGCGATCGATTTCGAGCACTTGGCTGATGATTTCGATGACGCAGGTTTGTACTTGCAGCAGTAGCAGCAGTGACAGCCGTGATGACAGCTTCGTACCGACTTGCTCTTGCACGGCTTCTTCAGAGACTTGACAGCTGAGTGCTTGTGCGAGGGATGACGAGAGCTGCGATGATGATGACAACGCCTGTGGGATCGCTTGTAGCAGACAAATTCGGCGCTGGGCGGACTCTCCGGCACGAATTCATGCACTGAGGCGATGGGTTCCGGGCGCTGGATCGTCGTCTCCTTACGGCAGCACTTGCACTTGCAGATATAAATGTATTTGCCCGAGCTAGGACAGATGGTCTTGTGCGAATCTATGAGAGTCTCATCCCTCGAGTGTCTCGAGGTGCCCTTAGAGGTCGTGTGTTTCGAGACCTTAGAGGATGTATGCTTTGAGCTGGGATGGTGTCTCGAGAAAGAAGAGTGCGTCTTACGAGAAGACGTCCTAACGTTCCCGAAGCCGGGGATGTACTTGGTGAGCGTTGAGGTGGTACTCGAATGGGTATGCGTGGGAAAGCGAGAGGTGCTGCTTGTGGTCGCTGGGAACGACCGCTTCTTCTTGCGACGAAGCAAGAGGGCGAGGCACAGGGCGAGTAGCAAGAGGGCGAGAATGATGGCCAACACAATCAAGAGCGCAAATGCCCAGACGGGGAGGTTTGCAATCCTACGGACGTTGTCCTCGACAACCGCCCTGGGCACGGGTACCGGGGAGTCATGATACTGGACTCCTGCACCCGCGGTTTCCTCCCCCCAGTCGCCAGATTGGGGCGGGGTTGCGAGGCCAGGGGCAGCGAGCGGGCGGGTGCACTTGGTGTTGGCGCCGTGCCAATCCTTTCTAAGCGTTGCAGCTTGAATGTTGAGGATGGTAGTGGAGATGCGGTGTACGCTTGTTCCCCTTGTGATGGTCGGAAACATGAGCTTGGAGTCAGGGTCGGAGAGCTTGGGGTCCAAATGGTAGACGGAGCTTCTTGCCTTGAAGATGCGGGGCGCGAACATGCGGGCAATCTTTGTTTCTCCTTGCTGAAAGTAGAGCTCGTTGTTGGTGCAGGCATCAGCCAGCAACTGCGTCCCTGACTTTTGTTGGTTGGCTTGCAGGCGCTCATCGTCGAGGTAGCTGAGGACTGCGCAGCCTTGCTTGTTTGCCAAGAACGAGTCGAAACGAGTACGATACTCCTTATGCAAGTGGGCGTTCTGGAGAACGTCTTCAGGAGTGTCGGGCGAGCCATCAACCTCTGCGACAATGCTGCCGGCGAAGACGAGGTTGTGATAGAACTCATGCAAGCAAACGGTGACAAAGTCGTACCTGTCCTCCGGCGGGGTGCCGTCGGCGCCATCGTACCACGGGGTCTTGTTGTTCATGGTGATGAGGACGTCATACTTGCCGTCGCCGTCCTCCTGGTTGTTCATGTCCTTTCCGCGAATGCTCTCGGCGGCGGCAACGGGCATGATGGTTTCGAACAGATCAGGCATCTTGACAAAGTAGGTGCCGCCGCCGCGTGCGAGGACGTTCTCGTCGCCGAGATCGGTGAAGACGATGCGGACGCGGACGATGATCGAGGAGACCCATGATTCTTGGATGATGGCCTGGCACTTTCGGATGGCCGGGTCGACGTTGATGGTGGTGGGCGGGTTGTGGACGTGGACCTCTAACTTGCAGCGGAAGCCATCGCCCTCTTGCGGGGGGAAGGTTGTGGTGCGTTGCGAGGCGTCACTCAGAAGGTCCTGATGCAGGTTCGGGGCGAGGTGGGGCTGGGCTGCGGACCGGGTGGCGTTGGAGGAGGCTTTGCCGTTTGTGAGCCATGTCGGGCCGGGGATGAGGGAATAACGGTCGGCGAGAAGGTTGGTGGCCCATCCGGCCTCCGGGCGGGGATCAGCGCGGTGGAGGGGCGTGGCGAGGGCGAGGGGGAAGAGGACGAGGAGGGCCGCAAGGGGAAGGGGGAGCGGGCCGAGCATGGTGGGTTAGTGGGGGGTAGGAGTGTTCGGAGGCAGGGTGGGGGGGAGAGGGAGAGGGAAGAAGAGAGGCGTAGGACGGAAAACGGCGATATACGAGGGAAGTGCGGGACAGAGGCAGTGTGCTGGAGGGAAGAGAGCGGGTGCGGCGGAGTGGGAAGTTGTGGGGGAGGGAGTGGAGGGAGAGGTGGGTGTAGGAGGGTTTATAAAGGACGGGTGAACGGGGGGGAAGGTTTGGGGGTGTAGGCTGGAGTGATGTGTTCGGTGTGGCGGTCCAGGTGGTGGTGATGCGAAACGCAAAGGGCGGAGGTGGGATGGAAGAGCGGTGACGGGTATCCGGGAAGGGTGATTGAGGCGGTACAAGTATAGCGAAAGCCGCTGCTCGGGGCCAGAGATGCGTGGTCGTGATGTGGGAATACCTGTCCGACCAATGGCGCGCCTCCCACCAGATCACCGTGTCGCTTCTGGGACAAGTGTCGCCGCACGCGTGGGCGCACGTCCCTCGGCCGTCACGCGCGTGCAATACCTCTCGACCCGTTGGGCCTCCGCGCCTGTAAGTACCGTCACGTTCGGAAGCAACGGCCAAATCTTCCCCCCACATCACGCCGCGTCATAACTCGCAGCCCTCGGCCCGCCCGGAATGCCCCCCCGCCAGGTCGCCGCCCCAAGCCACACGGGCGCTATGGCGCACGCGTCACGCCCGCGCCCGTATCCGCCTCCGCGGCCCGGAGGCCAGCCAGCCACACTGTCGCGACAAACCGCTACCCGGTAGACGCTGCCGCCGCGTCGAGTGTCGCCGCCCGCTGCCACCTCCGCCCGCCCACCCGCCCGCCGCA